TATGCACCTTAACCTTGTCAAAAATTACAGGAAAAGACTCCAAGCCTCCTTGTCAGGGGTAGCTGATCTAAGTACTAAATGAAGGGTGTCATTTATTATGAAAGCTTGATTTTTTTTTTGTTGAAATCTATTTTTTTTTAATGATTGTTGTGATTTTGGTTGTTTCCATTGTAACATTAATAAAGTATGTCACACATGTTGGTTTATTCCCTTTCTCTACAATTATATTGTTCATATTTTTTTGTATTTTTTACACATTGCCAGTCAGGGGTGCCAATAATTTTGGAGCCCACTGCTACAAAGTAGTTCCAATCATGTAAGCCTTTTGACACCATGAATCAATTTGCCACATTTGAATTCCAAGCTCAATTTAACCAACACTTTCAGTCAAAAGTCACAAACATCAGTTAAGGCTATAGACTTTGATATTGTGTTTGAGTTTTCTGAAACAATCAAGATCTTCGGCAAATATGGTGATCATGACAAATAGCAGAAAACACAATGTGACGACTGCCTGAGTGGAATTTTGACACTGTGGAACTAGTAACCACAGCTTTTGTAAAGCACTGAAACAAAATGGAACCAACAACCACACTCAAGCACACAGCAACTGAGGTTTCGGCAACATAAGTTAAGAGTGACAGAAGCAAAAAGTCTGCATGCGCAAATTTTGGACAAAAACATGAAACCTAAGTCTTCAGCTATGCATGTGGAAGGTAACCGTGGTATCAACGCAATATGCAACTCGCCCAGAGCTGTCGGGCTGTATTACACCACTTAGGTGAGCAAATATTATCGTATAATGATCTGCATGTCATTGTATATTGCTTGCATAACTGACAAGAGCACCCTAATTTAGCACAATCACTCCATGCCGCCACAGTGAAAATGATTAGCGATGCTTTCACTCGACTTAAGAGCCTGAGAGTGAAGCCAGGTGCGGCACTTGGAGCATAAGTACCTCAGGGTCAAACTCCACACTGCTGCCGCTCTCCTTCAGCATAGTGACCTTCTGTTCCATCTCTTGGTACTGCTGCAGGGCTCCTTTCTTGTCCCCTTGGTTATACAGCAGGATTGCAAAATTCAGATTCACCAGCGGGTTGGATCTGTGGAATTGGACGCAAAAATGTGCCCAAGTCAGTAATGGAGGAGCACTGGGAATGTGCAAATTCACCCAAAACAGTAACTCACCTGTCTAAATAGACGGCTTGCTCATACGACCTCTTGGCATTTTCCACATCATCTAGGTTTGTGAGGGCAACTGTAAAAAAAAAATAAAAATAAAAAAAAAATCAGCCCCTCACAGTTGTATGTCTCCACGGACTGCTCAAGTTGCAGTTTACATCCATGTCTGTCCAGACTCATATCAATATGTAGGAAGGACTTTGATGGAGTTTAATTAAACATATGAAGTGGATTTTTTTGGTGAAATGGAAGTTATCACTATATTGACTTGTATGATTGCAGAGAATAATTTCCAGTGAGAAACATGCCATCTTCACTTGGAAACTTTTTTTACCCAGGAGTACAAAAGATTGATTAACAGCTTTGTCACATGATGCAATGACATCTGAAGCTCAATCTAAGCATAACAAATTAGAATGTGAAGTTAGTGAACAAACTTTCAGTTATCTTGACAAAGGCAAACTGTTATCATTGGAACAATGCTAACAATTCAAAAAACCCAATCCCAAACCCTTTACAAAAAGCAGTTCAATGATTGTGAAGGGTAAAAGCTAATCCAATTATTTTAAGGAGTGAGGTTTTGTCAATTAATGTGACCCCTTCCTGAGTCCATCAATCCAGTCCCCTACTCTCCATGATACACTGATCAACAGTTGCAAAAGAAAAAAAAAAAAAAAAAAAAAACCAATCAGGAAAGGGGGCAGGGCATTCTAGATTACTTTGTGACCCCTTCCTGTGTCCATTACCCAATCCCAACTCTAATAAACGTTTCAGTATTTATGAAGAACCAAATATTGGCCAATCAGGAAAGGAGGTTGGGCATCAGTAATTAATGTAATCCTTTCCCGAGTCCTTAACCAGACCTCGGGCGAGGCTTAAATAATTTGTATGTGCCCCTTTCCCGAATCCAACACTCTAGCCCTCAACTCTCCAAGACAAACAGTTCAATAGTTAGGAAAGATCAAATATCCACCAATCAGGACAGGTGGTGGTGCTTTGTCAATTAGCAAGTGACCCTTTCCTGAGTCAAACAATCTAATCCCAGGCGGGGCTTTAAGAATAACACGTGACCCTTTCCCAAATCCAAATATCCAGCCCCAAACTCTCTAACACAAACAATTTAGAAGTTATAAAGTATCAAATATTGACCAATCTGGAAATGGGGTATGAGTTAATCATTTAACATGTGATCCTTTCCCGAGTCCAACAACACAATCCCTAACTCTCGATGACAAATGCTTAAAATGTAATAAAAGATCAAAGATTGTCCATTTGGGTAACGTGGGATAGAGTGATGAAAAAAGGACAAGAATGCTCCCTGCATCAGTGCATGTGTATGGCGGGGGGCGGAGACATCAAAATCCATCCTTTAGTACAAAGCAAGTTTGCAGGCTCTAGCTGCAAAGTCTCAAGACCAGGTACATGACTGCAGTTTTGTGGAGGATGGAGTGAGGGAAAACGAAAGAGGGGAGCAGGGCAACAGAAACATCAAAATTCATCTCATGAGACATTTTGAAGCTATATAGAAAGATTGGAGGCTTAAGCCATCAAATTGTGGAATCATGAGGGCTTTTGAAAATGGAGGTATATCTATCGAACTGAAAAAAGGAAGTGATCAAGATGACTTGAAAAATGACAAATCTGACCCAGCATAAAGCTGCCCAGCATATTTGATGTTTCTAGCTGTAAAAATGTACCAGTCTGAGCAGTTTTAATAAATGACCCATCATAAGTTTCCGGGAACCGAGACTGGGACAACATGAGGTCCCCTTGACCACCAAAATCTTATCAGTTCATCCTTGATCTGCGTGGAGATTTGAGTCAAATTTGAAGAAATTCTATCCATGTGTTCCGGAGATATCGGGTTCGCACAGGTGGGCAAAGGGGCAAACAGCTGGCAGGCCGGTATGATACCCCGAAAACATGATGCCGTCGCAAGTCTGTCCATGGCTGCCTCCAGCATAGGGATAAAAAGGCCATTAATCAGTGACTGCATACACTGTTGAACTCCTTGAAAAACCTGTGGAAGTCATCTGTAGGTCACTGACAAGCCAGTCGTGGTGATTTACCACTCTCCGGATGAGGTGTGGTGGAGCTAATACAAATGCGCTAGCCTGTGTTAATATTCCCAAACTGGTCTTCAGGAAGGTCACTCAAAGGGTTCTTCTTCAGTGTGCAGAACAGATAAGGCAGGTATTCCCATCCAGCCTATGAACCTCCACAGTTTGACGGCGAATCTACAGTACAGTGGGGTGCAAAAATTTGGGCACCCCTGGTTTAAATGTCTGTTACAATTAATCTCCAAGTGATTGAAAGCAAACCTGAACACTAAAGGTTACAAAGTTAAACATGACACCTTTCTGCAAATTTAAAAGCAAGGTTTCTTTTTAATTTTTCTGAGTTTTTAAATGATAAGAAAGGAAAAAGGGCCCTGTGCAAAAGTTTGGGAACCCTTTTGGATTATTCTGTGTTACCTTTTAATGATTACTAAGATGATTGCTAAGGCCCAGACCCTGGTGATTTACTCATAAGGGCTTCAATGAGTCAGGTGAATATAATTCCAGGGTTGAACTATATATTCTAAAGTAATTCCATGCCTTCTAAAGTATCCGACTGTGGTGGCTGTTGTGTCTGGTGTTAAAAACCATGTGTTCCTCTTAACAATTGTCCAAGGATGTCAAAATCAAGACAATTCACTTCCGCCAACAAGGAGAGGGCTACAAAAAACCCCTCACGTTTCAAACTACCCATTTCTACTGTCAGAAACATCGTAAGAAAATGGAAAATAAATGGAACAATTGAAGTCAAGGCAAGATCTGGAAGACCAAGAAAAATTTAAGACAGAATGGCCCGAGATCTGGTGAGAAATGCTCAGAAGAACCCACATATCTCTCAGCTGGCTACAGGAGGCGTTTGCAAGCTGTTATAGCTGCCCGAGGAGGAGTTACAAAGTACTAGTTGACAGGGTTCCCAAACTTTTGCACAGGGCCTTTTTCCTTGTTTTATTATTTTGAAACTGTAAAAAGTAAAAAATAAAAATTATTTTTGCTTTAAAATGTGATGAAATGTGTCATGTTTAACCCCTTAAGCCCTGAGCCTCTTTTTCAAAAATGGCAAGCCCAAAATGAAATGAGTACATCACTGCGACTACTTGGTCTATTTGAATAATCTTGGTATCATAATAAAGATAAAACCATTTGGGATTTCTGCCTTGGTGTAAAAATCAGTATATATGTCATTGAGTCAGAGTAAATGAAAGATCTCATTGTGCACCAAAGTTTTACTTCTATCCCTTGTGAAATTATTTAGCTGCAGTCTGAACTCTCTCAAAATTTACAGCACAGAATCTCACCATTATCTGTGCCAAATTTTATTCTAATCGATTAAATTAAAGCAAAATTAGAGAGGAATGTCTTGGTGGGTTCTCCAAATTGGCAATTCAGGTACCTTGTGTGCCAAATCAGATTTCTCAGATATTAAACTGTAAAACTCATCTAATTTCACTTATATGTCACTACAGGCATTCATTCCACCCAAATACAACCAGTTTTTAATTTTTAGAATTTATACATTTTTTTTTAATTATCATTTCTGCCAGTCCTATAGCCTGTACAATTTCCCATTCAAAGACAATACATACAAAGAAAATGAAGTTTGGCTCCACTGGAGCAGATTTATATATATAAAAAAAAGCAAATTAATGAGATTATGAATACAAAGGAAAGGTAAAAAAAATAGGGGAAAAAATTAAAAAGAACAAAAACCCCAGCAATTATTTATACAAGAAAAATGCCACTGTAGTCTTACTAAAGCACAACCGACCGGGGACTCGAACCTCGGACGTCTATATTGCAGCGCTACACCCTGACCACTAGGCTATATCAGTGGACTACTGCTCTAAGGCCAAATTGCCTATATAAAGAATGAATCAAGAAAACATGTCATTCGCCTTGTTGGTACTGTTGTGCCTTCAGTATTCACACGGAATGGCAGAAAGATTCTATCAGAAAACGACTTTGAAAACAACCGTTGAATATTTAGCAGATAATTATACCGAAAATACCACAAACAAACCTGTTAAGCATTTATATTGTCGCGCTATTTAAGTACATTCAAATGGCCCATGGACTCAGTTTGACGCACTGGGAACGCAAGGCTCTAGCTCAGGCTAGGTGTGTGCGATTGAGGTGGTTTAGGCCTCGTTGGAAACGTCAGAACCCATACAATCAAATGCCTACCGGCAAAGTCTTACAGACAGCATCACAAGCCGATCACAGAGAGGAAAATACATTGCAAGCAAGCTGAATGCTGAGACACTGAGATCTTTGAAGCAATGCCCCAGAAAAAACACGCTTCGAAACTGGAAGATCTAGTTTCATTATAACACGGACACATTCAGCTTACAATAGAAAGTGCGGATTTACCCTCAAACAGTTTTTTTATTACAAAGTATCAAAGGTAAAAAATTTTTTTGCTTATCTCTGTTGATTTTAAATTGTATGCCTGCTGTTCTTTGAGTGTGGTGTCGGTTTAAAATGACAGGGCGTATATCGTTGGATTCTGTGGACTTTCCTCTTTCATTTGAGGTGTCGTTTGTATGCATAGCACAAATTCAGGAGAAATTCTAGTGACACAGCGCTGATATGATTTTATCCTATGTTTTGCTTTATGCTTATTTTCTTGCTTGGTGCTTGAATTGTGTTCGGTTGAGGTAGAAATGGTCAACATGAGCTTTTGGCCGAGTTTCTTCGCGTAAAGTGGACATGCCGCATGACAATGCTGCGATTTGGAAATACGCTGTATTTATTACGCGTAAGGGAATTGCCTGTGGACGGGCAATGGAGTTCCTAACATGTTAACTTTCTAGCATTTAGTGCTCAGGTTCGGTTTCAATCACTTGGAGATTAATTGTAACAGACATTTAAACAAGGGGTGCCCAAATTTTCGCACCCCACTGTACATCATTAACAATCCAGAATGAGTCCAGTGAGCAGATAATTCACCTTGAGACTTTATTAGAGGACGGAATGACTGAAGGAAGACTAACTTGGGGAATTAAAGGCACTCCTCGTGAAAAATATGGAAAAATTAATTTGGTTGTTTTCTGTCTAACGTTCAGAAGGACCCATAAATAAGAAACCCCATCAGTGTTATATGGGTGCTGGTCATCTTCAGTGCATATGCAGCAAAAGTAGTATGAATCCGCTGTGACTTTTTCATCCATGTCAATGCTTAATAGAGAACCTACAAGTCATCTGACAATTCATGCCTGTCTTCAGGGGAAATGGAAGCGATTGGTCTCCTTTATATCCCCAATCAATTTTGATAAAGGTTCACTCCATGGAACCAGTACTTGGAGAAGTACTTGGAAATCCCGATTTTCATAAGAATGCCCCTTTAAGAATGAGATATAAAAGTCAGATCAGGACTGCTGGGCAGGGATGTGAACTTGGGGCAGTATAATTTTAGGGTATGGCCACGGAATAAGGCTGCAAACTCGAGACGTGTAGAGCACAACACCAAGCACGGTGGGAAAATGAAAGGATCACAGGTGTGTGATATGCATTAACACAGCAGCGGTTAAGTTCAGTATGAGCAGAGTAATGTGACTGTGCAGCGCACTGGGCCTGATTACCAGCCAGCAGCATGTACAGCTCTCCCATCCTGGGCTGCAGGTTTATCGCAGCGCTGAGGAAGTGGAAGGCCGAGGCGTACTGCTGCATGGTCAGGTGCACCAGCCCCAAGTTATACAGGATCTTCCAGTCAAATGGAGCCAGGTAATTGGCTCTCTTCAGACAGCTGATGGCCTGCACAGATACACATGCAGAGACAAGATGGGCTGCAGAGAAATCCAGGCACACACACACACAGTAGCTTTAACCTGATACTCTGAAACCTTGTCAGCATCATCTCTAGAATCATCACTATTAGGGGACACTAATCAGGATTTCTGCACTGAGCTGAATGGTCAGCAACTCTGCAGTGCTGAGTTCACACTGGGGTGTAATTACAGCTGTTTCGGAGAAAGGCATTTCCATTGGATATTTTCCAAATACAAAATGGCGACAATTCGCTAAGAGGGTAGCGACTCACTGCTACATATTTCTTCTTGCCAAAGAAGCACATGCCGATGTTGTTCCAGAGGGGGGGGCTCTCCGGCACGGCACAGGCTGCCACTCGATACTTGTTCATGGCCACATCGTAATCACCATGAGTCTGCATCATGCTGCCCGCCGCCAGGATCGCCTAACAAGCCAAAGACACAGGGTCACGCATGTACTCGTGCGGGCGGACACACACACACACACACACACACACACACACACACACACACACACACACACACACACACCACACACCACACACCACACACAAACTGTTGACTTCCTGTCAGTTTCACCAGTTTTTAGTACAAACTATAATAAAGATAAATAAGGCATCATGGTGGGTACCATATTTCCTCGCCGTGAGTGGTAATAGTGTGGAATAGATCGCCTTGTCATGCAGTAGAGGCAGAAATTCTGTGAGTTTTAAAGACCAGGCTTGACATAGTGTTAGACACCATCTAGTCCATCAGTATATGAAGTGCTACGTTCACTTAAGTGATAGGAAAATAGCAAGCCTAGTTGGGCCGAATGGCCTGTTCCCGCTGCTCATGTCATGTCATGTTGCAGTCTCGTTTTTCTGGTCACTAAAGAAATCACTCACAGAAACTCTGCGTACTTTGCAGAACACTATGTCATTCGCTTTAAAATATGTTCAGGTATTATCTGAGTTTGTGCACTATATAATCCTCTGTACATGACAAACAGGTCCTATAAATGTGACCATAAACCTCACCCCCAATATCTTTCAGCAATCTTAGACCACGCATACACACATGCACAAAGTTAATGTAAGTATAGCATTATTCCACTTTTATCACTCATTTCTGAATTCAAGCAACTGTGGAAAAAAATTCAATCCAGCAATGAGGAGAGACGAGGTATTAACATTTGAAGTATAACAATTTTGAACAAGCAGAAAAGCCCAGAAGCTCTCCTTACCTTGTAGTTGCTGGGATCATAAGTCAAGGCATTTCCAAGGTGCTCAAATGCCTTTTGATAAGTTCCAAGCTAGGGAATAAATTTAATCCAATTACTTAAAAATGTCTCACTTTTCAGTTCCTTTAAAGTAACAGTTATTATTTCACACTTTCATATTAAAATTTGTCTGCCAGGCAAGTACTTGACATGATTTGAAACCAAGTGATGACACACTTTTGGCCCTAAAGCCTCAAATAAAGTATGAAAAACACAACTGCAAAGGAATCCTCATTGATATTTCCTGTATTCCATTATTAATCTGGTCCTGTCTTTCTCTCAGTTATCAAGTGAAGAAAGCATCGATATTTCAATAAAAATGAAGAAAATAGACAACTAAAACAAACAGAAACAAAATCAAAAAGCAAATTTTTTACTGAGATTATTTGCGTGTTATTATATTACATCCATTTCTTCTTATATTTACAGTAACAGTGAACGAACAGCAGTATAATACAGAAAATCAGAACAGCCCACAAAGTTCTTTTTCTGGCTGGAGCAGCATGATCAAACCCTACATCCAAGGATGTCTGTGGCTGAGGGAGTGAATGAGTGAGTGAAGTTACCACTGATCGCCCATCTGAGTGTACTGTCCCTATTGGTCGTTCCTCATTGCACACAATTACACATATACTAGCCAATACCCGTGCTACGCAAGGGCTATATGCAGGGGCATTGTTTTTCGATGCAATGTAGGCAGGCTGGGTTGGTTTTACTTGCAAAACCGGCTTCAAAATGCAGATTTCACTTCATAAGTAAGTTCAAAACCTGGCGCATCGTCTTTGTCGCACAGTAAAACCGGTGTATGTGGAAAACACTCATTATTCACGGTGGTTTCGGAGGAGATGTGTGAAATTACACAAATCGCCAACTCAGTAATAAGATGCCATAAACTGTCCAGCCATATACTAGATTTTGATCTTGTGTTCTTTGCTTACTCTGAGCCCAAATCTTATCACTTAAGGCGGCACGGTGGCACAGTGGTTCGCACCGCTGCCTCACAGCAAGAAGGTCGTGGGTTTGAATCTGGCCTGGGGCCTTTCTGTGTGGCCCTTCTATGTGGAGTTTGCATGTTCTCCCCGTGTTCAAGTGGGTTTTCTCCGGGAACTCCGGTTTACCCCACCCAGAGAAACATGCATCATAGGAACACTCCAACCAGCACCCCTGACCAAGGAACTGGCTTTAGAACTGGAGTTGGTCCCTGGGCACTGCTCTGTGGCTGCCCACTGCTCCTAACTATAGGATGGGTCAAATGCAGAGGACAAATTACCCCACGGGGTTCAATAAAGTATATCTTATCTTATCTTATGCACGAGCAGAATAAAATGCCACCTTCTCGAGCCCGTCATATAAATCAATGATCCTACAATGCACCTTCGATTGACAATCTCACAGAAAACTCTAAGTGGTAATATGATGCATCAAACATGCTAATAATAGGTCCTTGATAAAAACTGAAGGCAGTGGCTGCCTCACCTGCAGGTACAGGAGTCCCAGTGTTGTCAGGAGCTCTGTGTTCTCTGGGGAAAACCTACCAGAGAACAGGTAACAACATCACACATAACCATCCGCACTGAACAGGCTACAACATAACTCAGAAACACCAGCACTGAACAGGTAACAACATCACACATAACCATCCGCACTGAACAGGCTACAACATAACTCAGAAACATCAGCACTGAACAGGTAACAACATCACACATAACCATCCGCACTGAACAGGCCACAACATAACTCAGAAACATCAGTACTGAACAGGTAACAACATCACACACAAACATCAGCACTGAACAGGTAACAA